GGCAACCAGGTGATGTGTCTCTCTCACATCAATATTCCTCTCTCTCTCTTCCTTCTTCTCTCCCTCCCATTCTACAAATGCAAAAAATAAAAAAATAAAAAAAAAATAAGAAAACTCGCCCTATCAGGTGAAAAGGAGCAGATTTGTTAGCAAAGATATATATTGTCCCGTAACATTCCCTAGTTGGAAGTGGACAGGCTCTGATTTAAAAACAGACATTGATTAGCTGTCCCTGACATTTGTACAGAAGCTTTACTCCCAGGGAGGAGACAACTTAGTTAGGTGTGGTTAAGAACAATTAAAGTAGTCCCAGGTATTTATAGGGGCCTTAGTGGCTCCCTTTTTATGATCATTTCAACTTCTCTCAGATTATTAATAAGGAGGAGGGGAAACACCCTTGGAGCAAGCCTATGCTTGCTTTTGGTTTCTTTTCTAAATCCAATTTTGGTGTCCTATAATCCTTTTTAAGGTAACCTGGCTTTCTGCAGTAGAGACACACTATACTTTCGCAACAGAACTCATTCAGCAATCATGTTGCCTTGCTCCCAGAAACCAGTACATATATTAACTGGATTAGGTCAGAATCACCAGTACTATATTCTGTTTTTTTCTTTTCTTTCATATTTCCTTTTTTTTTTTATCTTTATTGTTGTATGTATTACAGATGTTTCCCATTTTTCCCCCATTGACCCCCTTCTCCCCACTCCGGCCCCCCTCCCGCCTTTTCCCACACTGTTGTCTGTGTCCATTGGTTATGCATATAAGTTCTTTAGTTTATTTCTTCCCACCCCCTAACCCCCTTCCCTCTGAGGTTTGTCAGTCTAATAACCAATTTGTATTTCTTTATCCCTTCACCTTTTTCACCCATTTCCCCAACCCCCCTCCCGTCTGGCAACCAACAAAATGTTCCCTATATCTATGAGAATGTTTCTGTTCTGCCTGTTCATTTTGATTGTAGATTCCATTTTTGGTAAATATGTATTCACTGCCATTTTGTTTGTTCATATATTTTATCTTTTTCTTCAAAAAGACCCTTCATCATTTCATATAATAACGGTTTGGTGGTGATGAACTCCTTTAACTTTTTCTTATCTGGGAAACTCTTTATATGGTCATCGATTCTAAATGACAGCTTTACAGGATAGAGTAATCTTGGTTGTAGGTTCTTGCTTTTCATCATTCTGAATATTTCTTGCCACTCCCTTCTGGCCTGCAAAGTTTCTTTTGAGAAATCAGCTGACAGTCTATGGGAACTCCCTTGTAGGTAAGTGCTTTTCTCTTGCTGCTTTTAAGATTCTCTCTTTGTCTTGAACCTTTTGCATTTTGATGATGTGTCTTGGTGTGGGCCTCTTGGGGTTCATCTTTTTTGGCACTCTCTGTACTTCCTGGACTTATATGTCTGTTGCCTTCACCGAGTTAGGGAAGTTTTCTACCATTATTGTTTCAAATAGGTTTTCGATTTCTTGTTCTCTCTCTTCTCCTTCTGGCACCCCCAAGATGCAAATGTTGGCACGCTTAAGGTTGTCCCAGAGGCTCCTTACACTATCCTCATTTTTTTGGATTCTTTTTTCTTTTTGCTGTTCTGATTGGGTGTTTTTTGCTTCCTTACATTCCAAATCGATGGTTTGCTTCTTGGCTTTACCTACTCTACTGTTGAATCTGTGTAAATTATTCTTTATTTCAGTTAGTGCCTCCTTCATTTCTGACTGTGCATCCTTTATTTCTGACTGGTCCTTTTTTATGCTCTTGAGGCCCTCACTAAGTTTACTGAGGTTCTCACTGAGTTCATTGAGCATCCTTATAAGCAGTATTTTGAACTCAGCATCTGTTAGGTTGCTTATCTCCATTTCGCTTAATTCTTTCCCTGGGGTTTTGTTCTGTTCTTTCATTTGGGACCTGTTTCTTTGTCTCCTCATTTTGGCTGCTTCTCTGTGTTTGTTTCTGTGTATGACTGAACGAGAGGTATGGGGCTAGCTGAGACCAGATGCTGCTCGTTTGAAAGAATGTAGGAAAACCTGAAGTAGGATCCAAGACAGGCCAATCCTATGGTTAAGCAACTGGCAACAGCTTGGATGGGCCTAAAAGTTGGGTGGGGCGGGGCTTCAGGGAGTCAGCAGGGCGGGGCTACCAGTGTGAGCCAGGTTGTTGGAGTCCCAGATATGACGGCTGTCTGCTGCCCCAGGGAAGGGCCCACCAAAGGAATAAAGGCCTCTGACAGCACATTTGTCCCGGAGAAAGCCCCCTCTCCAGCCCTCGCTCCAGTGCCAAACAGCTCAGTTCTTCCCTGTGTGTCTCTGGTGCCCCTCGAGCTGCCTCCCCTCCGAGCTTAGAGGGAGAGAGTCCGATAAGTCCGTGCGCGGGCCCTTTAAGGAGCTGCCTGGGGCTCCAGCCGCTTCAGCTTCCCTGAGCCTCAGTTCCCGCTGGTTTTTCCAGCCAGAAGTTATGGGGACTTCTCTTCCTGGCACTGGAACCCTGAGTGGGGCACCTGGTGTGGGATGGGGACCCCTCAGTCCTCAGGGAGGACCTTCCCAGCAGAGGTGTCCTCCTGATTTTTATCCACCACACGTGGGTGTGGGACCAGCCCCTCCGCCTCCACCGCTCCTACCGGTCTCCATGCGGCTACTTCTTTAATTCCGTATTTGTAGGACTTCCATTCAGCTTGATTTCAGACGGTTTTGAATGATGGTTGTTCTGTAGTTTAGTTGTAACTTTGATGTGGTTGTGGGAGGACGCGATACTGCGTTTACCTATGCCACCACCTTGACCAGAAGTCTGCCAGTACTATATTCTTTAACAGTAAATGAATTTTTGCAAACCCATCAGGGTCCCAGAGAGAGGAACTATACAATCACTGTTCCCCTCTTGCCTAAACCAGCCTTTCCCTGGGGGTTTTGTTTTTATTTGTTATGCAATTGACCTGTGCTGCTTCCAGGAGCTACTAATTTGCAAACAAGATAAGTTTTTTCTTTCTATAAGTCAGGAGTGTTAATGGGGGCTGGGAATTTCTGGCCTTGGGGGCACAATTTCACATGTTGATTTTAGTCTTACTTTGCTATCTCTAGGGTCCAAATAAACCTCCAGATCTACTGTGTACTGGGTTAAAGTGTGCTAACCTGTGTGAGCTCCAAGTCCTTGCAAACCTCTCCATGTGTCGCAGCCTTCCCTTCCCATAGTCTCATCCCTTACTACCTCACCTGCTTCTATCTCTTCACTTGGGTGAGGATTAACCAAAAAAATAAAATTAATAAAGATTGGAAAAGGCAAATGATGAAGGCACTTGGGAGTTATTGAAGGGTTTGAAATAGTAGAGCCATCTGGTCACATTTACATTTAGGGTACATATTGTGGCAAAAGAAAGAATTGGAGGATTGGGTTCAGCATTGCAAGACTGGAAGAAGGGAAATGCCTTAGGTAACTATTAGTCATTTTCATTTTTAAATAAGTCATAGATGCTCCATAATGAGCATGTACTAATTTTATAGCACAAGAAAATACATAAACTCCTATTTTGTAAGAAATCTACACCTTTGTCATTTATCTATGATATAGTCACAATTTAATAACATCTGAAGTTAAAGTCCCAAATTATCATTCATTTGACATGATATCTTTGCTCAACAAAATTTCCATCAAAGATCTTTAGTAAATAATCTTCCTTTTCTACTACATAACCTATTATTTAGGTAGAGGGAATGCATCAATTCTATTTAACAAATTAGAATGAAAATTATAACCATACTACCCACAGCTCTTACTCTGCTAATTTTATAATTCTTCAGTCCTCCACAAGTCACAGAAATACTCATACCTAAATAGAAACTTTTAAATTGATTGATAGCCTTTAGCAATAAACTCCAGAATATTGGTAATGAAAATAAATGGTTTGTAAAGGAAACAGACTACTCATTGTCTTACTTTGACTCTTTTCAATTCTATTTCTTTAACAGCTATTTAGTCCTAGGTATACAAATTTTTGTTTTGGTTTGTGTTTTTAGTCAGTTGAACTTTTTAGTAGTTTTAGGAATTAATTGGACAAATATTTAACTACAAAATGAGATAAAATTTAATAAGCAACTTTATTGTAATTTGTGCCACTATGAACATGTTAGTTATTGGAATAACTTTTAAACTTAGTGGTAATAAAGTTTTAATCTCAACTTGACTGTGTTCTTTATTATTTTATTTTATTTTATTATTATTTTGTATTGGTCATGTAAAATGATCTCTGAGTTTACCTGTGCACATAGGATTACATAAAATGTAATTGTAGCATCCACTTAATCCAAAGTACTCTTAATGAACTGTCATGACCTTTTAAATATACTTAAACTATATTAGTAATACATAAATAGTGGGCATATTTATTTCTGCAAACCAGATTCAGGAACCTGGATACCATTAAAAACATCCTTTAACATAAACAAAGTATTAAGTACAATATACATAATTACTTTTAATTATAATTATTCTGGATAAATGCATAATTTAACTGCCTTCAAATAGGCACACTTTTAACATGTGAAATTTAGATTTCATAGGTTGGTGTTTGATGGTAAATTTAGTATAAATAACATTGAAGAAACTACATATGATAGACCTGGGATTCAGAAACTGGCTTTAAGATTCTCCAATACAAACCTTTGAAGGCATGCAGATGTATTAATTTTTTATTTGTTTCTTTTTGATCTCTTAATTAATGAAAAAGATTTATTGGTTAATTTTAGGAAGGCAAGTGTTTGAAAAGTTTTGCCAAATACTGTCTTCTTTAAATGACGGTATGGTAATGAAAAGTTAAGATGAGAGCCAAATTAGATTGAATAATTGTTCAGTCATGTGGGACAGGCCAGTTGCATAGCCTGGTTGTTAGACTGATTGCTCAGATTACATTGCCTGGGGTCCTGCACTTGGTTGGCTGTCTTCTCAGATCTTAACAAGGTTCTGGGAATTTCTTTTTCTGACAAAGTTTGCTTTGTGTTTTTCACCTCCCCCACCACCTCCAGGATGCTTCATCTGCAGACATTAGAAAAGCATATCGTAAGCTTTCATTAACTTTGCATCCAGACAAGAATAAAGATGAAAATGCAGAAACTCAGTTTAGACAAGTAAGTGAAATATGCTTTATGTTTTGTGACAAATTTATATAGGTTTATGGTAGAAATAGTAAATTATATGTAGAATAATATATTTGAAAATGAGGATGTAGTTTAGAAATATGTATATCTGTTTATTCAACTTTTACAAAATATGTTTTTACCAACATTTTTTATTTTAGAATTTCTGAATTCTTATAGTGTCATAATTGTCATAATTTTCTTGTCTAAATTACAGCTTTTGCTTTTAAAAAGTACATTTTAGATAATTAGTACTTTTGCATCTTTCACAAATATTTATTTTGGTATCAAGCATTGTTAACCTTTTAAGTGCTAATAAAAACATAAACTGTTATTAATAATTTAGGTCTTATCCATTTTATTTATGTATGTGCATTATAGTGTGTTCACCTTCCAAAGTGATTTCTTATAGTTAAGAGTATTTTTATTTTAAAGTGATGCTTCTGTTTTAGTTGGTGGCCATTTATGAAGTTTTAAAGGATGATGAACGAAGGCAGAGGTAAGTGTTCATTTCTGCTTTTGAATTAAGATGTTTGCTGTCTCAGTTTATACAGAGAAAAATTGTCTCATTAAGCAGTTTATTTATTAAAAGTTAGTATTTTATTTTTGTCCCTTCCAAGAAATGTAATTTTTTAAAATGTATGTTTAGAGTTCTTTAATATTGAAAATATTCTCTAGGTTGATTCAATACTTATAGACTAGTGTTAGCAAGTCATGGCTTCATTAGATAAGATGTTTAACAAATGTCTAGACCTTGGGAAATACAAATACCACCTGACTTCAAAGAAATGTCCATTCATTTTTAATATGTCACTAATAGCTCCTTTCTGTGCCTAGTAGTTCTTTTTTTTTTTTTTTTCTTATTTCTTAAATGTTTTGGAATTAGGCTGTTAGTGATACTCAGGTTGTTACCATCTCTTGGTGTTTCCTCACTCACAAAATAATGAGATAGGAGTGAAAGAAAAATATTTGCTTCTTTCTCCCATTTCTTTTGCCTACTTCCCTTCCCTTCCTCTGCTCCAGTGATTCTGCATTCAGAGTTAGTTAGTAGAGGCAGCCCCTCACTTGGAGACTTCTCGTGCCCCCTTCTGCAGAGTGGTGATATATTTATAGTCATTTATAGTGCCAGCAACTTCAGAGGAAACTGCAGAGAGGACCGTTTTCTCTACTGTAGAATGTGTGGAATGTCGACACTATTGCGACGGGCTTCAAAGTGTTTTCAGTCAGATCCACAGTAAAAAATTGTGTCTCAAGACAGACAGATACACACAAGTAATCAAAAATTTCACAAAACACTTCTTTTGTGTGTGTTAGACTGATATTTGCTGGGCTAGGCTAGGCTAGACTAGCCATTTTTCTTTTTAAAACAATGCTGGTTGTCGTCCACTAAATTGATTTCATGAATCACTAATGGGCCACAATCCACAGTTTGAAAATATTGCTCTACAGCAAAGAGTACCTTTAACAGAAAAAGGTAGGTATTTCAGATTTTAGGCTAAGGCCAGCTAATATGGATGCTAATATATCTTAAAGACAACCCTCCAGAGTTATGCTATATGACATTCTGAATCTATCTTCAAATATATTATCTGGAATTATTCTATATCCTAAAATGTTAGCTACCACTCTTAGTTCTCATCCTAACTCTTTAATTTGAATACCTCAGTTTGTCAGATTGCAAAGCAAGGACTCAGATATTCTCCTGAAGTGTTCTTTGCTTTATAACAAGAGTTGGCATTGGTCCAGACACCATAGCCCACATTCCTCTGGTTTGAGATAATCCATAGTGTTGAAAGAGTCCTGGGAGTATGTTGAAAGAAGTGTTGGTCATTCTGTGCATATTTTTTAGTTGGTTTCTCTCCCTGAGCCCCAAGTTTTGTTTCACACATCAAGAATGTGTCTGTAAAGACAGCTTTATTTAGTCTCCGTACATCTTTGGCATCAGATTTTGGCTTTTTGTTTGCTATTTTCTTAAGTTAGTAAACTTTGTAATAATTTCTTTCAATTACTAAAATTATTTATCTCTTCAGAAAAAAACACAACTTTTTATTTATAAATTAACATAGATTCATATAACATTTTCTTTTCAGGATTAGTTTCCTTCGTATTTCTTTTATAGTATTAGTAGAAAAAATGGATCTGACAGTTACACAAACATCAGTAGTATTTATACCCCTTTAGGGACAAGTAACTCTTTGGTAACTGGTTTTCCCTGAGGCAAAAGTCTTAACTAATCAAGCTAAGAATCACTCCTCTAAAGCTTGCGCCCGAGGCCAAGTGACCTATGAGTATTTAAACATATAGAAGAAATCACCTCCACAGACAATTACTTAATGTTTATAATTCCTTTAGGGGGAAGAAAAAAGAACATAGTTTTATCTTCTAAAAGAAGATGGTCTTATACTGGTTAAAAAAAAAAAAAAATGCTCTTTGGTATCACAATTATTTATTACAAATATTCATTAAGTAAATGCTTTTAAATGTGTGACCTTCCAGGAATTTGCAATTTTGAAAATTGTCATAGACATGTTTTCCTATTTAGTTCCCTTACAAATAATTGTGTCTTCACTGAAATCAGGTGCATTCTTTAAATTTTAGTAGAAAAGGGGATAGCAGTGAAATAAATAAAATAGCAAACTCGATAACCTTTTTACTTTTCTAAGGAAAAGGCAAATTTTATTTTTAAAACAGTTTTACTTAGATATAATTGGCATACCATAAAAGTCACCTACTTTAAGTGTATAATTCAGTGATTTTTAGTGAATTTACAGAGTTGTGCAAATCACCACTATCCAGTTTTAAAACATTTCCATCACCTGAAAACACTTCTTCAAGCTCATTTGCAAGCAGCCCCCACTCTGACCCAGCCCTAGGTAATCACTGATCTTTCTGTATCAATACATTTATCTTTTCTGGACATTTCATATTAATGAAATCATGTAATATGTAGTGTTTTGCATCTGGCTTCTTTCTTTTATCATAATGTTTTTGAGATACATCCATAGTGTAGCATATTCCAGTAGTTTATTCTTTTCTACTGCTGAATAGTACTCCATATACTACTTTTCTTTATCCATTCACCAACTTGAAGACATTTGATTTGTTTCCACCTTTTGGCTATGATGAACAATGCTTCCATGAATATTCACATACAAATCTTTGTGTGAACAGATGTTTTTCATTTCTCTTGGGTAGAGTCCTAGGAGTGCAACTGTGAATAAACTTTCAAGTCTTTTTTCCTCCCAAAGGCATAGACTATGTGTGTGAAAATAACATGATTCCTGGTTAATGTAAGGAAGCCTAACATAGCAGCCCTTTTTAAACTCCTTAGGTAACTTGCTTATTTGGGGGAAATAACAGCTCAGCTATGTTCTGACATAAATTTCTATACAAGTGCCCTGAGTATTAACTGAAATAAAGAAAGCACTGAGTAGACACCAGTTATTCCTTACACATATACACGAGAATGTGCTGTGGTAATATTAGTATATTTACTTTTGTTTAAAGTCTACCATAAACTTCTAACCAATTTTCTTTTGCTAACCCAGTTGTGCAACTTTTTTTAGTCTATTTTATGGAACTATATTTGTAAAAGTTGAATGTATCTTTTTTTTTTTTAGTTTACTAAATAAAATCATGTTTCATTTACAAATTCAGTGTTGAAAACTATAGTTATCTCAGCTTTAATCTGTAAACTTTTACAAATCCATTACCTGGTTATTGTAAATATAGTTACAGATGTATTAGAATAAAAATAAACATTAACCTGAGAATAAGAAATCTTAGTACTTTCTTCAGTTGGAAGATATAAGACACTTATTATATACAATATATAAAGTACTATGTACCAGTTTTTGGCAGGCAGGCAAGCAGGCATATATATATAATCCTCACCTGAGGACATTTTTTTCATTGATTTCTAGAGAGAGTGGAAGAAAGGGAGGGGAGAGAGAGAACATCAATGCGAGAGAGACACATCAATTGGTTGCCTTTGGCATACAGGGATGTGGAACCTGCAACCCAGGTATGTGCCCTTGATCTGGAATTGAACCCATGACTCCTTGGTACATGGGCTGATGCTCTACTGAGCCACACTGGCCAGAACTGTATGTATATTTTATAAAGGGGAGTAAGATGAATTTAAATTAGACTTGTTTCCTGTTTATGATCTTTGTACAACTCATTTTTATTCTGAGATTGAAAATGTGATCCAAGTGGATGTTGCTTTATTGTTTTAAGCTAAAAGTTAAAAGTTAGTATGTTAAAAAATTCATACTTCAGGCAAATGCTACAATTATTTACATATTTTTCATAATATACACATTGTCTATTTTTATTTCATAGTTACTATTTTATATTTCAAAATAAGTGTTTTAAATTTACTTGAATTTTTTTCCTACTGATAATTTAAACATTTTTAGATTTACTTGCTTTCCAATGTTTATATTAGGCTAAATATATATGATGAATTGTAGAATGGAACTCACTAATGTAATAATTATTTAATGTTCATCGTGTACATTTTAAGAAAAAGTAAACATATATTAGGCCATATGTTGGATGTGTAGAATTGATCAATTAATATTTTAATTTTCAAGATAATACCTTTGCAGTTCCATATGATTTTTTGCATTAGTGATATTTTCATCATAGAGAATTACTTTTGTGTTTTCATAGAACACGTTGATACATATGTACATTCTTAGTCTGCTTTTAGGGCAGTTGTATGAGCTTGATTACAGAACATTTTAACAGTGTTATGTGTTAAATATAAAAAAGCATAACAGTGATATTTTAAATGTTATGTGTTGTCAGCACACTTTTTTCTTAAGTAACTTATGAATATAGTGTCTGTATATTTTTAAAAATATCTTTATGTTTTCAGTGTTTCAGAAAAGCAGTGATTTATCTTTTAAAAGCATATTTCTAAAACGCAGACTATAATAGAAGCTATCTTTCCTTAAAATGGCCAGTCGTGTGAGCCATGATGTTCATTGATAGTAAAATCAATAGAGCATTGATTCTAAGCTTAATCCTTGGAGACTGTTGTTTAGAGTGGCAGACATAGCCTAGTAAATATCTGTTCTGTTTAATGTGTTCAGTGCATGAAGTTTTGCTATCTTGAATTGGGCTGTATACTAAATACAATTTGGTATGTGGGGTAGAAAATAGTAGCTGTTAAGAGACACGTAGTATTTCAACAATGGCCAGTGGTGTGAGCCATGATGGTGATAAAATATTTGATATTAAATTCATAACTATACTGCTGTGTTTTATTTCAGTACAGATCAAAGTTAATACTTAATAATGCTCTTAGATAATGGTCGCTACTTACTTAGGGGTTCTTTATTAATAACCACACTTTTTACATGAAGTTATTTCATGGGAGAGGTTAGCTGAAAATGATGATTTTTATAGTCACCTTTTGTTCCCCTCAACAAATCTGAAGTGGAATGTAAGTTTAGAATAAATTCAAGACTTAACATTCATTGTATTTCATTCAATTGTTGTAATCTTGCATTATACCACTTGAAACCTTTTTGCCAAACCATTTATAATTTAAAATGAATCCATTTTTTACAAAGACAGATTTAAATACAAATTTTTGAGGGAAGGAATGATAGCTTATTATGAAATCATATTATTATGTTTTGATATTCATGTTCAACAATTGCTGTAATGTTGAAAAAGGAGAAGATTTAAACATCGAAATTTTTCTGGTCCAGCCACTACACAAACATATTTTAATTTGTAGTCTCATGTACACTACACAATTTGTCTTTAAGAGTTTAGTACTAATTAATATCCTTTGCTCTGAACATTAGTTATTCTGATGTGCCATTATTATTAATAATTTAAGTTGATCTAAAAGTCAGGGTTTCTAGATTTGCTAATAAAATATATTTTGAACTTATAACCACTCTTTTTCTACTGAAAAAAAGAATCTGCCTGTAATAAATCCTCTGCATTATTTTTTTTTAGCATATCTCCAAGGTATCAATTTAATAACTATAAAAGTAGCTACTGCAGTTGTTGCATTTAAATTGATTTACATGTCAAGACTGGCAGTTTAGCAGCTGCGCTATTATTCTTAGATCGGTCAATTTACTTGAGAAAAACCTACTACTGAGTTCCACTGACCTGCCTGACAATATAGGCCCTATTTCTATTCCTGTAATTAGGCCTGCAACTAACTCAGAATATTTTTAATTAAAATATTTTGGTCAATGTGTTGCACCAAATTAGGCCTTTCAGTGAAGATTTAATTCTGGAAATAGTGTGATTAGAATATTTAATGAGTTGTGTTCCACTAAGATTAACAGGTTGTGTGTTTTGAACATACAGTGCTTGTGACCATTTTGAGTTTTACAATCATAACTGCTACTCCTGATTTTTAGCATTAAATATATTTTCCCCAGTAACTGTCTGACAGGTAAATTTAAATGTAATTGATGTTTTACTCTAAAGAAAGCTGATTTAAAATGCATTTCTAGGAGAGCTTTTATTTATGTTTTTTCCTTCCAGCAAAGCCAAAAATGAGAAAATTGCCACTTAAATGTTTACAAATAAACAGTTTATTGAGAAATCTGACAAAAACATAGGTTGTTTCCCCATCTCTTTCTAATTTGGTAATTTTTTAATTCTCTAAAGGAATGTGAGCGATACATAATTTTAAAATGCTCATTTTATAGGTTTTTACATCGTTAAAAAGCTGTGATAAAATAATATATAGAAGTAGTTCAACCTTGAACCATAGTACAGATGTGAAAATAAAAGTATTGACTAGAAAATGTATCCTGAATTTGATTCAATTAATGTATAATTCATGGTAACAAATAGAGCTCTTATCTTGATTTTTTTTCCCCATTGAGATCCTTCTTTTTGTTTCTGACTACAGTGGTGGGGTCTTTACAGCAGATCATGATAGAGGTGAATTTTATGGCTCCTTTAGTTTAGATGCCATTCCAAAAGTCGCATCATTGGGTGCTGTAAACACACAAGACCTAGTATCCACAGTATATTACTATGTACCCTTTTTAAGGTTGTCTGGGACTGGACCTACATACAGTGTTTTCAATTTATAGGCCATTGTAATGCTGATAATATACATAAATGTTATCTATTTTGGAGAACTTTTTTTTCTTTTTTCTCTTTTTAAATATGGGTACAATTAAAATTTTTTATTTTTATTTCAAACTTTCCATGAAAAACTATTATATTTGCTACTGTAGGTATGATGATATTCTGATCAATGGACTTCCAGATTGGCGACAGCCCGTATTCTACTATAGGCGGGTGAGAAAAATGAGCAATGCTGAGCTGGCATTACTTTTGTTTATTATCCTCACAGTGGGCCATTATGCTGTGGTGTGGTCAATCTACCTGGAAAAACAACTGGTAAGTGTTGGTAATAAATCAAATGATCCTATCCTCCTTAATTTTATGTGGAATTTCAAACATTTATTTTTCAACTGATGAAAGTTTCCATGTTTTTACAAATACTTCTCATTTTAATTTGTGCTCAGTAGTTAGTGTTTGATATGTTTCTAAGTCAAGAAGAACCCAGGATAAAAGAAGAAAATACCCTTCTTTTTTAAAATGTGACATTGAATTTGTTACAAAATTTTCTAAGGACCCCAATATCTAACTGAAAATTATGAAGTAGAGCCTACAGCCATGTTTTCCTAATTATCACCTTCCAAATAGAAATGTTTTTAATGTTAAAATGATTTTAGAAATTTTTGTGTCACAGGCTCTTTTATAAACAATGTTTACTTTAAAAGTTTTCAACTAAGATTTGAAATGAGTATAATTTTATGATTTCACAGATCAGTTGGTTAAAAAATTATTACACTTTTCTTAATCTAATAAACTACTACATAGTTCATTCCGCTGTGGAAGTTTATATGCTACAGATAGTCAAACATATTAATCAGTATTCATGAATTAGCATCGGTTTACTCATTCTTTTTGAAATGACATTATTAAAGTTGGATGAACGAGAAGAAGTAAGTTGAATGCTTTCTCCTCTTAGAAAACTTTGATTGCTATGGAGATAGACATGACTGACAGTGCTCAACTTCATGTGTGTTTAAGAACTGGATACCATGACAACAGTTATTGTTAAAGATTGATGATTTTACTTAATCATGTTGGACCCTACATACATTTGCATAAATGTTCCTTTATAATGTTTCTCCTTCACAGTAGACTCTTGATAACATTTGAAGAGTACATGTTAATGATAATCTGTACCTATAATTTTTTCCACATTAAGGATGAACTGCTTAGTAGAAAAAAGAGAGAAAAGAAAAAAAAGATAGGTGGCAAGAGTGTGGATTTATCAAAACTTGGTGCTTCAGAAAAAAATGAAAGGTGAGAGCATATACAAATATTTTGTAATTAGAAACTGTTTTAAAATATTTCTTTAATATCCAGTTTCATGTGTCTATTTCAGATATGCTAACATTTACATCTGTAGTAGGTTTATAAAAGACTAATAATGTTCTATATTAGTTTGTGATACTAATTCTGATCTTAGGCAGAAGTTCTACAAGTTTTTTGTTCTACAAGTGAATTGTTAATGTATATTTAAGTAATTAAACCCCCAGATTCTTGTAGTTTAAAATTTGTATACTGAACTTTAGAACCAAAGTATTACTAGATGAATCTATAATTTAGTGTTTAGCTCATGAGTGACAAAAGGTACAGAGGCAGTGATAGGCAGTACACTCAGAGACACCACCATTTCTTCTATCGATTCAAAAGAAAAAATAAAGGGTTTAAATGGTTCACACAGCAGGACAGAACTGGATCAATGTGAGATGGAGATCAGAGACTATTCTGCCTATCTTCTGTTCTGATGACATCAGTGAGTTATGCTTCAGTGAACTGCAAATGACATTAATTTTTATGTGTTGGTTTGTTTATGCTACAGTCTTCATATCTGCTTGTCAGCACTGGGGAACACTCTGATGATGTTTAGTCTTTTATAGCTGAAATAATCATAAGGTTTGAGAATTCATTTTGTAGAACTGATGAAAGTCTAGGTTGGAAAGAGATCTTTTGTTTCTTTATCTTTATAACTTGATTAGGAGTCTCCTTTCCCAAAATCTTTGTATTCGCTTACTTGCTATATATATTGCATTTGTTGTAACTACTGTATTTCGTGATAGAATAAATCAGAATAAGTGATAACCATCATAAATAGTTCACTGAAAAATGTCTCTCTTTTTTTGTTGAAAGAGCCATTCAAAACAGAAATCATGGTCTCTATAAATATATTTTGTCTCCCAGCTTACTCTGTATTTTGTTTGCTTCTTTGCTTTTGTTTTCCCTTTAGATTACTGATGAAACCACAATGGCATGATTTGCTTCCATGCAAGCTGGGGATTTGGTTTTGCCTTACACTAAAAGCATTGCCTCATCTAATCCAGGTAAAATGTACCTCTTTCATATAATATTAGATGCTTTCATTTTAATTATTCATGAAATAATTTATGCTTGTGTCTGCTCTCTGAATGCTGATGTACAGTGGAAGCTTCATAATGCTGATTGAATTGAATGGTGTTTTTGTAAGTGTAAACCTGAGAATGGTTCTAAAATAATTTAGCTATCTACTCCTATAACTCTTACATTGCTTTTAGAACACCATAGAATTCCAAGACACTGGAAAAAGTGGGAGGGGGGCAGAGGAAGGATACTATCTATAGAACAGATAAAAAAAGCAATAAAATTTAATCATCTGTTATCATTTAAGGCATATTCAGTAAAGAAGAACAGGGTTCAAATAGCTTGTCACACATTATTTTAATAGCATTTAAACACATAGTATGAGAAAAAACTTTACATGAACATCTAATTATGCAAAAATACAGTTTTCCATTTTATTTGCAACTGTAAGTGAAGATATTCTGTCTTATACTGGTAATCAAAGTTTCTGATCCAGTCTTGATCAAACATAGAATGTGGGTATATGTCATATTTATATGGCAATTTATTATTTTTTATAGTTAGCATACCAAAGCAAATTTTGTTAAATTATTGCTTTGATAATTTTAATTATTGCATCTGGTTAGAAGATTCCCAAAACATAAATATAATATTTGAAAGTATATATAATAATTTTGGTATACAAATTTTCAGGTTCTATGTGGTTGTAATTTTTGGAAGGAAATGTTTCATTTCAGAAAATAAATGTTTTGATAAACCTAGACAAACAGATAATTTTTACCCAGCTTTACCCACATTATTTTTTATATATCAGAGCTATTTTTCCTAGTTGTTTAAGGCAATGAAGGACTCCAACTTCGGCATTTCATTCTCCTTTATCCTCTCATAACACAAATTTTCTGTTGAAGGGAAATGAACTAAAGATCACTAATGTGTTTGTTCTTAGCCTTTGAGAAATTATTTACCAGTTTTCCATCAAAATAATTCATCTTAATACTTACTGCTTATTGAATCATATATTTTGGTTACAGTTTATAGAGAATATTGAAGTATTTGGGTAATTTTAAAGCTTTTGTTTTTAAGTTGTTTAGCATATTATATTGTTTATTTTAATAAAAATCCTAAATTCTTGTATGGTATATATGTGACACTTAATAAGAGAGAGGGAAATTATATTTGTCATGCTGCTTTTTGTTTATTTGTTTGTTTTTTTATGAGAAGAGGTGAGGGAAAAATATTTTAGGGCATATTTTCTTTTTTTTTTTTTGAGTGATTATTTTTTTGCCAGTTTTAGAATCTGCAGTAGGCCAACCAAAGTATAGATGAATTTAAAAGTATAGTCAATTGACACTGTAAATGGAATATCACATAAAAATCAATTTGAAACACTTCTTTGTAATATTAATTTAAGTCATTTGAAACAAAGTTTATTTGGTAAAATTAACATATTTCTTGGTTAGCATTCAGGGTAATTTGCAAAAATAGAACCAATATATTAAGATTGCTTAGATTTAAAAGTTATTACTTTAAATTATTTGCCTATGGTATCTAGACCTAACATTTTAAGTGATTTGCCTCATCATAAATTTGTAGAAAACTCACAAAAATAAGGAATTTTACAAACATGGTTTAGTCTCTTTAGAAACTATGCTTTCTTAAACTATTAGGTCAGTTTGACCTTTACAGTTTTGACTTGGTAATGCCTGTTGCCTTTCAGTTTTGAGATGCAAAGCAATTGGTTTTCAAATACTTTGTAAACCTAATTTTTAAATTTTGGTCTAATTATTTCTTCCTCATAAATGTATTCCAAGAAGAAAAGATCATTTTTTAAGCAAATCCTAGATATTTTATTTCTGTTTTGAGGACATAAGATCAGTTTTTCTCACGTTCACTAACAAAGTAATGCAATACAGTAGACTCTGATGTAAATTATAATCGTGAAAATATTTTAGATTGAGAAACATAGTTTATGTTTTCAGCAAAGCAATACTGAATAGTTGCTGTTAGGATTAGGTTTTTGTCTGCCTTTTTTTTTTTTTCCAGTTTGCTGTGAACCTTGCATTAATTTATCATGCGTAAAATTGTGTACTGTGAATACAAGTGCCTTATCTACAGCGTTGAAGTTTGTATGTGTCATTTCTATGAGACCTTCTTAAGTGAGATATTTATGAAATTTAAAAGAAACCCTCTTTACCTGAAGCAGTCTGGATTGCTAATTGGTGCATGGTCAAAAGAGAGCCCTGCTAGAGCCCTAAGTAGGAAAATTAAACACACAACTTTAAACATTGTAAGCATGTAGTTTACATTTATTCACCATTCCTGTGATATAGGGCCATTGTTTTGTTTTATTTTATTTATTTATTTTTAAACAACTTTTAAAAAGATTTTTTAAAGGTTTTTTTTTTAGAGAGAGAAGGGAGGGAAAAATAGAAACATTGATGTGAGAAACATCAGTTGGCTGCCTCCTGCACACCCCCTACTGGGGTTTGAGCCCACAACCCAGGCATGTGCAGAATCGAACCGAGACCTCTCAGTCCATGGGACCAAGCTCAATCAATTGAGCCACATCAGCTGTGCCATTGTTTTATTTTTGAATTGGAGTCCTCCTTCTTGCAAAAACCATGCCTTTAATCTTGGTTTCTTTAATGACAAATTTTCACTTGATACCTTTAAAGAAGAGTTAAACTAGATGCTTGTGATTATATAATCCTTACAGATTTTTATGAGTTCCCCCAATCTTTCCTAATTGATTTACATTTAGTTAATAGCATTTTTAGCAACTCTTCTGTTGAACTTTCCAAAGCATCCACTTAATTTTCATAGAAACAACTGTCATTTTTATTCACTTTTCATCTTTTTTTATGTAATGTTTAATTGAATCATGATTCAATAATAACAAGTATCACTGACATAAGTGGGATTAAGAGCTAACACAGTGAGCTCTTCTGGTTGTGTACATCCCTTGAATTTTATTTTATTAAAACTAAGCTGCAAATATCTTGTGTAAAATGTGTGTGTGTGTGTGTGTGTGTGTGTGTGTGTATAGTTATTGGATAAGAAGGAGGATCTAAGCTAAAAGTGGACATTTAGAGACTTCCAGCAAATGGCCTTCACACTAGCTGAATATCTACCCAAATTGTGTCCTTATCATATCAACAGCTCTTCTTCAATGTTTTTCCTCCCAGTCTTTCTCTCAATACTCATTCCTTTGTTACATTTCACATACACAGTAGGATTTAGAAAAGTGACAGTTCTGGTTCACCTTATTCTCCTAAATTCACTCTTTTAGCATCTAAGATTCCTAAGAAGCCTCATTGCCTTATTAGTTTACCAAAATTGTTTTCTACACCCCCCAAGAAAATTTACAAATAAGAATGATTATATCAGTATTTAATATGTCAAGCTTTTTCTGGTTGTATCTTTAGAACAGCTGTTTAGCTGGTTCAATAAAAAAGTATTGAACATCAGAACAAGACACTGTAAGGGGCTATAGAGATAAATGTCTTCTAGGACCTTACAGTCAGGTAAAGGTTATAACACACGAATTAAAAGAATTATATAATATAGTACATAAGCTTCACATATCTGGTATAAACAATGACTTCTTTAAATGTACAAACAAATAAGACTGTCTCTATTTAGGATGGCAAGGGAAAACTAAAAAGAGGAGCTAGCCCTGGCTGGTGTGGCTCAGTTGGTTGGGTGTCGTCCCATGCATTGAAAGGTTGCCGGTTTGCTTTTTGGTGAGGGCACATGCTCAGGTTTGATCCCTGGTAGGGGGCATGCAGGAGGCAGCTGATTGATGTTTCGCTCTCACATTGATGTTTCTCTCTCTCTCTCTCTTCCTCTCCCTTCTTCTGTCTCTAAAATTCGATTTTAAAAATAATCTTCAAAAAATTAAATTAAAATTGAAAAATAAAAAGAGGAATTACATGAAAGATACAGTGGAGTGCCCACTTTGTGAATTAGGTAGTGTACAAAAAATTATTTCATAGATACTGTAATTCCCATACAATCATACTGTGTGTAAGGCTGAAAGAGACCTAAGGAAGATATTATACAGTTCCTTTAAAAAAAAAAGATATCACACAGCCAGTTACTATAATCTAAGGCTACATCCTAATCTTCAGCTTCTGTATATAGCCATTTAGGAATTTATGCTCTTAATAGCTGAATCTGATATGGTAAATCTGTAAAGGACAGTTAGATATAATAAGGTTTATTGGTAAGACAACAGACTGTTTCCATCACACACATCTGTCAATGATATGTATATATTGTTGGGAGTAGAAGAGTTTAGAGTACATAGTAGGCAGAATTTTACTCTTAAGTGGTTCTGTGATCACACTGGGTAGAAGTAAAAGTACACCTTTGATAGCCCCCTGCTTTTTAAGAAGGTTCTTATTACCTCCAGCACTGGGCTTTGTTCCTTTCCTTTGCTCTGAAAGGGATATTGGAAGAATAATAAGAATTGGTAGATTAGAAGAACTAAAAACTATTATACTTGATACATGTAAAATATTTGATAATGTTAAATTAATATCAAACATTTCCCAGGTTGGAAATGTCCAAGGAAAAGATGTATAGATAATATTGTATAGCAAAATGTGTACCTCATGTCATACATGTACCCACATATGCAGAAAAGTAAAAAGTCAAATGAGAAACCAAAGAAAAAGAATGTGGAAAGTGTTTATAAATTGATGAATAGATAGAAAGTTAGTCTGTGCACAGAACAAGAGACCATTGCAGAGTAGTAAAATGCATGACTTTATGCAGAGGAGCAGGGAAACTGGAAGATGTGTTTAGATAGCAAAGAAAGCACATGAAATGATCAACAGAAGACATGGAATATGGGTTAGAATATACAAGGGACTTGGACTATATAAAGAGAGGCCTTGTATGCTTTAGGGCTAGAATTTAATTTCAGCATTCAAATATAGCCCCAGTGACACTCCCATATCTTACCAGTCTGTTTTTGTTT